AGTAGACCAACTTCTTTCTAGTGGCCTCAAGAAATGGAAAATGAAAAAGAGATGCCCTGGGAGATAGCTCATGACAAGTTTCTTAGTGGGTCTGTCTGCTCCCTCTGCAGAGAATGATATCTACTTTCTGGGGTCAGCCTTACCCTGTTCTTCAGCAACCACTGTAAGGCAGTGGAAGGCGTTGGGAACTTGCCTGTAAGTTTGTCTTCAAATACGGATGTGGGCTCCTTTCACTATAGGTTCTCTAAATTTGTTAGTCATGATTTAAGAGACCCACACACATAATGAATTTTCTTCAGTTCTCAGTGTGGGGAGGAAATGGTAATTTTGTTGAAGTGTTGGGAGTGCCACCTTACCTGTGTTCTCTCTGTACAGTATCAGAGGTTACTTTCTAGGATATCTTTTTTGCCTTTCCAAATTCTGATCATTCATTGAGATCAAATCGTACCCAATGTTAAAACTGTCTCTGAAATGCCATGAATTTATAATCAGTAACACATGATTTCATTATTCTCTCTGCAGCTATGGTGAAAGCTTCTTCAGAATAGGAAAAATGTTGCATACTTTTGATCTATCTTATGGCTTCTACATGATAATATGACTTAATACATGGATGTGTAATAATCAAGCAGTGGGACCAGGTTCTCCTTCTGGAATCGGCCTTACTATTTTATAGTCTTGGCCTATGGAATTTATTGACATAGCTTTCAGGTTACACATACCAGACCTTCATGGTGCTGGGTTTCGTTCATGGTGAGCACCAAACACTTTGAAACCTATAAAGTCACAGATGCTAAAATCCCACCACAAGCCATCAGAATCAAAATCTCCAGGGGGCAAGGCCTGGGTATCTATACTTTTTAAAAGCTGCTTAAGTGAGTCTAATGTACAAGTGTGATTGAGAAAGCCTGCCACATGAGGACCACTCCTTTTATGGAACTGTGCCAACAAAGGTTTCCCAAGTACAGGTGTCACTCACAGACCCAACCAACAAAAGGACACACACACATCATTATGGTAGGATGGTATTAGGATTGTGCCTGAGTACACAGGAGCAGGTTATGTACAAGAGGAGGATAGCCTGGGGTTAATATAACATTTTGTACAGGGATTCCTCATTGAAAGCATTTTTTAAAACTCTCCAACATAATGACCTTGGGGATTGAGGACCAGAAGAGAGAGAGTAGAGGCTTATCAGAGAAATGGAGCGACAAAGAACGGAGCTAGAATTATGGGTAGGTGGCCATCTACAGAGTGTGATTTTTAAGGGCCTATTGACTTAAAATTCCATCATGAAAAAACTCATTCCTTTGGTTTAAAACTTTGTCTCCTGTTACTATGGAAATACCTGTGAATCACATCTGACTGGATTCATCATATCCTTACCTGAGAATACATTGTGATGGGGTGTGGGGAAAGATCTGGAAAAAGTGGGTGGAAGGCTAAGGAGCTTTTGCCAAATGAGAAAACACACCAAGCAGGGCATCTTGCAGACAGTGGCAACTGGACAAATATTGACAATTTGATTTGTTATCATTTAAAAGAAAACTGCTTGAAACGAAGACAGACTATTAAATATTCTATATTTCCCCCTAACTGCCCTGCTGAGATGAGGAGCTTCTTGGCTCTCCCTGGCTTATACTGCTAGCTCCTGAACTGAGAAGAAAGCAACAGGAGAGCAGCCTCATCCCCCCCAGGGAGGTGGTCTCTAGGCTGGCCCGAGAGTGAGGGCTCTGAGCTCCAGCCTGAGGATTTTCCTCTGACTCGCTGTGTGGCCTCCAGCCAGTCTCCAAGCAGCTTCAGTTTCTTGTATGTCAAACCAAGAAAAATACCTAACTTCCCACCTCTCTGGGGCATTGTAAGACCCTGAGGCTGCCACTTTCATTACTGTTTGTCTGAAGACCATAAGAAGAAGGCTTGTAGAGAAATTTTAAGACTAACTGTTTTTACTATTAGCATTATCAATATGAAAACTCGTGTAGCACCAGGTAGAAAGGAGAATGTTTGGGGAGGGCAGAAAAATGGAGGACACAACAGCCCTCAGAAAAGCGGTGTTTGTAGTGCAAGAGAAACACAAAAGGGGGGTTGGGGTGCAGGGGAGAGAATTCTACAATTGGTACCAGATGCCATCAGAAGCTAGTAACCTGACAAACACCGTCCTCATAAAACAAATTCCTTAAAAAAGGAAGCAAATGGAAATGTAAGCTAGTGAAAGAATTTGCAGCAGCTGCCCTAAAACCATTTCTCACTTCATAAACAGGTCTGGGTTTGGTGCCTTTTTTTCTTTTTTTGCCTTGGTCTTATTTCATGCCACTTCCCCCCTCTAACACGCTCCCCTGTCTCATTCTTCCTCCTCCACTGCCAATGCTGGAAGGGCTTCTTACACCGGTAGTCATAGCAACAGCAGTTAATGGAGCCCCATCTTGATGGAGGGAAGCTCATTCAGAGTATTTGTTCTGTGTCTTATCTCAGCACGTATTTGTCCTCAGTGATGACATGGATTAATTAATTGGATGGAGTCACTGAAAAACAGCACATACTATTTCACATTAATTTCTTGGCAACAAGCTGACATGAACAAGAACTTGTTAATAACTGTGTTTCCTAGTATTCTCTGCATACCACGCTGAAGAAATATGACTTTTTGTGGACATCAGGAATACAGCATCTCTGAAACTTGGAGTTCTTTAGGCATCACTAATGAGGTGTACTGATCTCACCCCATGAAGAATGGTCAGGTTTCAGATCCCTTATCCAGATAGGTTCAATAAAGACTCAGAGACAAAGATTCATTTCCTATATTGCCTACCCAATTATCAGCATTGGATTTGGGGAGTTTGTGTTGACAATTAACAGCCCCTACCCCCCAATTCATATCTTCCTCCCTCCACCAGACTCAATAGAGTGAATCTGAGGCATTCCATACCATCGAAGGGAATAATAAGAACTCAAAAGAGTAAAAAAGGTTTTTTCAAACTACTCAACTCCAACACCTCTATTCTATAGCTAATAAGCACAGATAAAAGAATGAGAATGTCACTGACATATGATTTAAATCCTATGGCTACAAGATAAGAAGCAGCAACTTTAGCATATTCAGATCAAATCCATCCTTTTTAGATGAGTGCTTTTAAAATCAATTCTCAATTATGTCAAGGTGTTATGTGCATATTCAATGACATTTTATTTTTCACTTTCTTGTATTGTTGCCCAGCTTTTTAATAAAGTCATTGACTGCTAACACAATTCTAGGGCAAATAGGGCAAATTAATGATGATGAGCCTCACGGTAGCCATTTTGGCTAATATTTAGCACCACTGGTAACAGCATCATGAGCAAGAAAATATCTCATTGGCCCCACTAGATTATGATTTCCTTAAGGGCATGATACTTATCGTACCCCCAGTACTCAAGCCAATGCCTTGCCAACAATAAGTGCTCAGTAGATGTTTATTAGTGAATGAATGAGTAGGGCAAGATGGTTGAATCACTGTTTGATGATAATATTTTTGTGTTTCAGAGTCCCATCTGTCACTTTAGAATTAACAAATTACCCATCTTAATAGCCATTGACTTACTTTGCTGTCTGAGCAAATTTAATTCAGCAGAATTTTCTTGTGTTTACTACAGCAAGCTTTATGGTGAATATAAAAGTGAGTAAGAGCCTGTATTTGTCTTCAAGAGGTTCATAATTGAGTTGGGAGTTTCAGTACTTAGGAGATACTCAGCTACTAATTGCCTTGTAGATCAAAGGATGAATAAATGAAAGAGTAAGCAGATGCACACATGACTATAATATAAGATAGAATATTAGAAGTGTTAGAAGGAAATTATTTTAAAAATTTCCCTGGGAGGTTCAAAGGAGGAAAACATCTGGAGGGGCTTCTTGGAGAAGAAAAGCCTTTTAGAAATCTCAACAAATTGAACAACTGTATAGAAATGGGAAAACCAAAAAGCATGGATGGCAAATAGAAAACAAGTAACTGAGGGTGGGACTTCAGCCATTTGCAGTGGAGCAGTAGAGGGAATTAACCCAGAACAGTAATAACCCTGTGGGATATATACCATTATTAAACCCCTTCTTACGGGGGAAGGAGCTAAAACACTGGGGAATGAATAACTCAGCCATATCACAGAGGTGGTAAATGGTGGATCCAGGATTCAAAGTCAGACAGCATGGGGCCAATGCTCTAATTTTTCTCTGGTTCTGCCTTGGGAAGAGGGTAATGCTCCTTGTTGCTGTTACAGTCTAGACCTGAACTTGGAGAGTTTAACTCTCTCTCCCATTCCTGGCTGACTGACCCTAGAGATCCAGGCAGTGGTCCTCCTCTGCTGAGATGATGTCCTGGAAGCACCTAGCACAACCATCAGGCATGTGGCCGAGATTTAATATGTGTGAGTTTCCTCTTCCTGTCAAGGGCTCAGTTTCTGATTAGCCAGTGCTGATTTTCAGTGGTGTGTAGTGCTATGGCTCCAGTTGTCAGAAATATTTACATACCAACCAATAAATGTTGACTTTTCTGCCATCTCAGATACCCAGACCCTTCTTCCAGGGCCCTCTGGAATCAAACAACTAAAAGGTTAGTACCTGACACAACCAGGGGCCCCAAGGATTCACTCCTGACCTGGGTCTGCTCTGATTGTTTGGGACTCAGAAGTACTGGTTGTTAAACATTTTGAGGCATGCTCTCTGATCCAGCCATTTCTGATGCCATCCAGAGCTCTTGGGACACATTCCCCACCTTGTCCTGTCACCATTTTGTCCTCCTGGAAAAGCCGTGGAGTCAGTTAATCATTCATTACTTGTTAACTGATATTGTTCTTGTTTATTTCATGTCGCAGGGTTCCAGGTCACACAGAAGGAGGTGATGAATTCAGTGTAGGTTTTGGAGAAAAATCATTCTCTTTGGTTTAGAGGCACTTTCCAGAGGAAGCTGCAAAGTTTTTGCTGCTGCCTTCTGGTCTGGAGTCTAAGATGCTTTTGTTTCTGTCATCCCCAGCTGTGTCCATCGGCCCTGTGGGGAGCAGGGCAGCTGTGTGCCATTGCTGCTTGATCATGCGGATATGGTGAACTGTACCTCTGGTGGCCCAGGTCACATGAAGTGTGCTATTACCTGTCAAAGGGGGTTTGCCCTTCAGGCCAACAGTGGGAAATACCTCAGGCCTATACAGGTGAGTTGGAAACCCGTGGTCATCAAGACCAAGCTCCAGGGAACGGACGGGACTTATGCTCCCCTCCCTGGCTGAATGGGGGAAGGGCAGGTGTTTTTAAATCACTTGAAGGAAAGATAAGGACTCTAACAAGCAAGGAGAGCACAGCTTCACAGAAATGCAAGGTGCAGTTCCCATTAACTAGGGTGTCAGTTTCTCTCATGCAGACAGCAGGTAGGGACGCTTATCCCGTTCTCGTCCTCCTTTCCCTGTCAGAAATCACAGTCCCACTTTTGCCTTCAAGATGAGAATTTCACAGTTTACATTTTCCCACAATTTGTAAGCAAGATAGGTTGTAATCAGTTTGTCTGTGGCTCATAGTTTGACTCCCAGCCTTCTTTATATAAGAAGGCTGGAGAAAGAGTCTGATTTTCTTCCCTCTGTTACTGAGGTGGGGATTATATCATGATTCTAGCTTTTGCCTAATTTTCCACATTTCTCCAAGCTACCATAGCACTATTTCCAGCATTTGGAGGTAGTAGAATATATTAGTTAAGAGCATGGCTCAGGTGACAAACATGGAATGAAATTTTGGCTCCACTGTTTATTAGTTATATAATTTTAAGTAAAAACAAACAAAAGAAACTAGTCTCTTTAAGTGTTCTTCCATATTTGTGAAATAATGAGGACAGAAGTATTTATGTCATTGAGTCATAATGATGACTGGAAATAATTGAAAAGCTTCTAGCTAAATGATAGGCACATAGCCCTCATTAAGCTGCCAATACTATGAGCATGATAATGTATTCTCAACTAAGAATTCTGTTTTCCATCTTTCCTTTAGAGAGCTTTCAATACTCTACAGAGGAACTTTAAACTTGAAATCAGCCCTTAGAAGACATGACCATCATATGAGACAGAGAAAGGATGCATTAGGGAAAAGATAATGGTGCTTGAGGAGAGAACCAGAAAGACATGGAATGATGAGGAAAGAATGGATGCGTGACTGATAGTCAGGTATCATTGGTGCAAAAGATTGGAATTGCTTGTATTTTGTACCAATTGACTACTTAGCAGGTGGTAGATTCATGGAAGAATTTCACTTGCTTAGAGATGGTCTGAACTCAAAGACACAGTTGTTGGTTTCAGGTGGTTTAGGTTCTGCATAGAGAGAAACAGTTTTGATAGACCTGGAGACACCAGCTCCTTGGTCGATGGTGCTTTGGTCAGAAAAGCAGAGCTCTTGTCCCCTGTTCTTCACCCAGCTTAACTTACACTAGAGAAGAGAGAGAATAACAACAACAACAAAAAAAATAGGGACTGACTCCATTTGTGTGATAGGTAAAGAGAGGGAGAGAAGAAAAGACGGTGTTTGCAATGCATTACAATTAGGAGCACAGTCAAGACAAAATGGACAACACTTAATGAAGCCAGGAGAAAAACCAGGCAATATATGCAGGGTTCGAGACGGATTCTGTAAGCGATCGTTGTGGTTCAAGCCAGGCTTCCACACTGTGATAAGTGTGCAAGGGGCAGTCTGGGTGGGGAGGAGGAAGGTGGGAGCTCACCCTCTGCCAACCATGTGGTGGAGTCAGCAAACAGCTCTCCAGCTGACTGCTCCTGTCACCCGAGGCCAGCCCCACTAAGGAAATTATACAATCCCAGCTCGTGATCACAAGACAGTGGGGATATTTGCTTTTTGTTGACATAAGAACTGAAACTAAACAGAAAAATGTGTCTGGCTTTGACTTGGGTCCTTCTGGCAGGCAACAGAGAAACATTGGGAAGAGAGAGGCACAGCTGGCCAGGAGTGGGTGTCAGGGGTGACAGGTGCTTTCACCAGTCATTTTACCTTTGGCTTCACTGTCACTGTGGTCTCCTGGTGGGATGGCTGCTGAGCCGCAGAATGGGGCTGCAGAATCTCCCCGTGCTCTCTTTGACCTGTGGTAACCCATTGGCTGGAGTGATGGCTGTGCTCTTTCCCAAACAAGCCATGAGCTTCCAGGTCTCTCAGTCCCAGCTCACTCTGTCCCCCTCACTCTGGACACGTTCTTCTCCCCTTTCCCTCGGCAGCTGGGAAGTCCTGCTCATCCTTCACAGGCCAGGTCCTGTATCACCTACTCTGTGAACCTCCCTGCAGACACTGGCCTCCTGCTCGTGGAGGGACAGTCCCTCCTCCAGCCCCCATGGTGCTGTCTCACAGAGTGAGCACCTACATAAAATATGGCTGCCTCTTTTTACATTTTTATGTTTTCTTTCTTCTTGGTCCCTGTCCCCTACTTCTTTTGTTTTATCATTTCCATTCTTTGTATTGTATTCTCGCAAATCACTACAGAAAGAGTAGGCTGTAATAAATAACAATATATATCTCTTGCATTTTCCTTCCATATTTCCTTTCCTCCCTTCCTCTTTCTCTTTCTCCTTCTTTCCATTCTTCTCCCTTTGTTTTTCTGAGCCATTGTTTCAACCTATGATTTGCTCTTCTGGTAGATGATTAGCTCCTGGAGGGTGTCTTGTTTATCCAAACCTAGACAGAATTTGGCCCTTCTAGGTGCTCAATAAATGTCTCTTCATTTATTTAGTGATGAGGAACTCCAGGGCTACCCCACAAAAATGACAGGCTCAGGGAAAGGGCTGGAATCTCTCCAATTTAACCAGAAGATTTGGAAGGTGCCTTGTATGCATTGATTCCCAGCTGTTCTTAGATACTGTGCACCATTCTCAGTGGAGTTAATTATGTTCAGGAGCATTATCAGTTGGTTTATCAGCCAGGCTCCCAGCAGGAAACAGATGACATGCTCCGAAGTGGGCAATTTGAGGGAATTTAATACAGGGACTACTTATGAAGGTGGAGGCAGGATACAGGGAAATTACAAGGAGTTGCAGAATCCCAGGGTCAAGCGGTGACATCACCAGTAGGCCTGAAGAGTTGACTGCAAGGAGCAGGGAGCAGAACCCACAGGAAGAGAGTGTAGGAGAGGATGGAGAGGGCTACCAAGGGACAAAGCCAACTGGCATTACTGGAGTAGGAAGAATAAGCGTCCAGACCTCCCTTTCCCTCCTGGCTCTGCAATCTCCTGCCAGTGGGTTCTGGGTTCTAGGCCTGGGCACAACCAGAGGCATGAAACCCACAGGGCCACAGAGCATGGTGGAGAAGGGCATAGAGTGGATCCAAGAGCACAAGGGAGGCAATCAAGAGTTGGCCTGGAAGAGTGTCTCCAATGATTCTCTTACACTAACAGGGATGGTCAGCAGCAGCCTACCTGGGTACTGAAGATCTATATCAAGCCAGTAGGGCCTAAGGAGGGAACAACGCAAAATCATTTTACCTATTTTGAATGTTTGCACAAATAATCACCAGGATTCCTCCAAAGCCTGGAAACTACTTTGATAAGCTTTTTCATGTGAACTTGATGGAAAAAAATTCTCTGTTTGTAGAAGGAAATTCTGCTCACATGTTCCTCTGGGCACTGGGACCGGATTGTGAGCTGCATGCCCCTTGATTGTGGCGTTCCCCACCCATCTTTGGTGAACTATGCGACCTTTTCCTGCTCAGAGGGAACAGACTTTCTGAAACGCTGTTCAGTCTCCTGTGTCCCACCAGCCAAGCTTCAAGGTATTGTCAGCCAAACAAGAACTGAATGCAAGTTCTCTTCAGGCTATCTCTCTTTGGGGGTACTTTAGGGATTTTTTTCTTCACCCCAGTACTCTCCTCATGTGCTCTGCTGTGCCATCCTCTTCTGATAACACCACCAAAGTGCCAAAGGGCAACACCATTTTTGTCCCAATGACATACAAGAATGCCCTGGCTCAGATCTCATGAATGAAAGACACATAGGCTTCCCTGTTTTTCTTTGATTGTACGTCCTCTGGAATCAAGCTGACTCACAGTGGCCTGATCATATTAATAATCAAGAAACACTTTATCATGCAAATTTTTTTATTTAATATTTACAACCTTCCTATGAGCTAGGTCCTTTTAGTTCTATTTTATAGATGAGAACAGAGTTCTATGAGTTGTCCCTGGCTTACTGCTAGTAAGAGATGAAGATAGGGTAGAACCTGCTCTGACCCCACACCTTGCTCTTGACCTCTTCTCAGACTTTGGTGTGCCTCTCAGTGACCCAGGAGGCCCGTTACAAATGCTACTTCCTGAGCCTAATGCGGACAGAGCCTGATTTAGTAGGTCTGAGGTGGGTTTGTGATGCAACTGTGGGAAATTCATGGATTGCCTTCGGAAGAACCATGAATTACACTGAGGCATATGGTGTGGTGTTTAAGTACAGAACTCCGCATCCCAACTGCCCAAGTTCAAACCCTACATCTGCCCCTTATTAGCTTGGGCAAGATGCCTAAACTCAATTTCCTCATGTGCAAAATAAGAGATAATGATGGTATCTGTTGCAATGGGTTGTTTGAGGTGTGAAGTTTATATAAGTATTATAAAATGCTTTGGCATATAAAAAGCACTATAAATGTGTCATGCTTTCCATGACATGGTCACTACTACATTTTTATCATTTGTAGTTAGGAAGTGAGGTCATGATTTATTTAGTAGCCATTCTATCATTCAGGGAATGAAAGGGAGGTCAGGGAATCGTTATCTGACCTCTGTTCTTTGTAAGAGATCCCAGTGGATACTCAGCGAGTAAAAAGAGATAGGATGAGCCCTGGACCTGAGATGCCAGAGAAGTTGCTCCACCAAGAATTATGTGACTTCCTGAGAATGCTGACGGGTTGATAGGTTTTTGTTCTTTTTGGCTACATTTTGATTTCTGGACTCTGCTCTGAGCATCCTGTGCTTCTTTTTCCTGGGCTCAGGACTGAACCCGTGGTTGACCTGTCTTGAAGATGGGCTCTGGTCCCTCCCCGAAGCCTACTGCAAGTTGGAGTGTGACGCTCCTCCTGTTATCCCGAATGCCAGCTTGCTCCTGCCTCCCTGCCTCCAGCACAACCATGACGTGGGCTCCGTCTGCAGATACGAATGCAAACCAGGCTACTATGCCGTGCCGAGTGCGGACAGTAAAGTCAGGAGGTGAGCTGGCTTGTTCTTGGGTCTTTGCGCTTCTCTCTACCTTCACGCTCTCATTTGTAAATCCCAGACCGTTGCTTTGGAAATAATATGAAGACCTTCTGGGTTGTCCATTGCTTGTTGTGTTGGTTTGTTTTTCTATACAATCTCTCTTCACCTGCACAGGTATATTCCACAGTCATGCAGGCAGGTTGACCAGGTGTGCTTTCTGGAAAGCTATTCCTTCCCATAGAAGATCCCACAGCCTCATTTAGGTGATTTTAATGGAATCTCTGCCCTAATTATCATTGTCCTTGAAAGTAAGTGTTGGGAGCTTCTCAGGTGTTGTCACCTGAATCCAACTGTGGGTGGAACATCCTCATCAGGTCGGTTGGGAGCTTATGGGATGATGGTTCTGGGAGAGACCACCTGGGCTGGTCCCCAATCCAGACATTTATTACCTGTGTGATGCTGGGAAGGTTTCTTTCTCTGCTTCAGTCTTTCTCATCTGTAAAGCAAGGATAGTAATAATAATATCGACCTGATAGGGCTTGGTGTGGGGACTAAATACATTAATCAATTAATAAAACATAAGGTTTGGTAAATTTATTTTCAACACATAAAACATATTAGCCATTAATGTTATTGTAGTCTCTCTGCTTTCTCCCTGCTGGACTTCCTGTATGTGCAACTCCTAGACCCAGAAGCCAGGGTGCATTTCTTCTGATCAGAAAGAACAAAAGGAAAGGCTTTGAAGAGAGTCATGCTGGGCTTCAGATCCCAGTCATCTCCTCTTTTTATCAGCTGAGTAACCTCAGGCAAGTTACTTAACTCTTTGGGTCTCAGTCTCCTTTGTAAGTTGAGGATAATGCCCACATCAGAGGGTTGAGTTGAAGATGAAATGAGATAATGCACATCCAACCCAGTGCCTGCCTTGTGCCAATTGCTCAATAAATGGCTTCAGCAAAAGAAGGTTTTTCTGAAGAAACAAAACAAATAAAAAACTTTCAGAAAAAGAAACTCCTTGTACTCAGTAAATAGTAGCTATTCTTTCCCTATCATAAATTATGTTAGTATAGGAGAAAATCCAGTTCATTTCTTACCCAGGACTTAGTTAAAAGTCCGACCATAGTAGGTTTTTTTTTAAAGATGGTTTTTGTTTTTGTTTTTGTTTTGAACTAATATGATCCCACCTGTGGCATTACCAATGATGCCAAGACAGACAAACTTTGCTTATAAGCTAAAATTCTCTAAGGGGACAGAAGAATATCAGGAAACATGTGCCCTTCACCCCACCATCTTACTATGGGGTGGATTGAGTCTGGCTTTGCCCAGAGCCTTACACTACAGAGAAAGCCCAGGCTTCTATGTGGGAGGGTGGGGGGAGCAAGTCAGGCGAGAGCTAGGCTGATGAGAATATGAATAATACTGATGAAAAATTCATAAGAGGCAGCACTCCGGTTCAGTGGACTCTAGCAGGTATAGTCAACAGTTTTTGACAACCGAAACACATTTGCATGTGACTTTCATAGGCTCTAGATCAATTTGCATAGGCACACATTGAAAGACAGTGAGGACCCAGGCCATCTTCAAGTGCGAATGATATTACAACTCCTCTAGAGGAGGCTGTTTTCTGGCTTTTTCCCCTCTTGTTTCTTGCCTCCCCTTATACAGACTTGCAACTGACTCAGGTGTCTGCAGAATAGTGTAGAGAAGAATAATTGAGGGGGAGAGCAAAGTCTCAGGACCAGGAAGAATTGAGGGCAGAGGGATGATTTCTAGCTCCCTCAGCCCACAGCTTCTGTTGGGAATGAGGCTTCCCCCCAGAACTGTGGGCTCTCTGCCTTCCCTTGCACCTCGGGCTCAGCCGGCTGCCCCAGCCACGGCAGGGGCACACAAAGGCCATTTGTTGGTACAACTTTTCTGGTTGAGAAACTGGAAGCTTGCAACATCGGCATCGGTTTTGGCATAAACATTTACATTCACAAACACCATGCTGAGGGAAGATTAAATTATTTACCACACTGGGTAAACTGATTTAAATCTTAGTTTACACCTGTTTGCATAGCAGGCGGCGGATTGGTCATCAGAAGTTTGCAAGTTGGGCGTAAATCACTGTCACTTGCCACTTCTGTTTACCCAATGAACTATGTCAGCCTTGTTCCCCGCTTGGTGGATAGAGCCCAGAGTTGTACAAATGGGGCTCTAAACTTCTTTCTAGGACATGCAAGCAGGAGGAGAAGAAATTGGGAAAAGCAGGCAGGGAGATCAATCCAGATAGAGTGGACACATGCTAATTTTATGCAGTTCTGCGAGTAGTGGAAAAAACCCGCTTGATGGTCAGATTCGAAGCTTGTTGTTTGCATGACTCTGAACAACGGACTCAATATCCATGTGTCTCAATTTTTGCATCCATAATGGGAGGGGTAGTAATTTCTACCCAATAGTGTTGTTTTGAGGCTGAAAGGAGGTAAATGTTCTGGAAGCATTTTATCAACTATGACGTTCAATGTAAGTACCATGTATTGCTTTTTGTTCATTTCTTTTTAAAACAAGGAAACAGCTACGAAAATGTCAGCCAAGTACATTCCCTTCCTGCTCTTCTCACATCTGTTGAATGTTGTTTCAAGAGAAAAGAAAGACAAGTACTGGATCTGACTTTTCTCTTTGGATCAGCCCATTTAAGTTTTGTCCCATTCAGCTCAGAGGGGGCAGGGAAGGCATAGCTGCAATTGGCAAGTTCATCGCGTGCGTGCTCTCTGCTGGTCTGGGGAGAATCTAGGCTCTGACCTCAGGGAGCACACAGCCTCCGGGCTCCCTCTTTCCTGTGCTTTATTTTTCCTTGAAGCATAGCAGAGAAGGAGACAGCTAGAGGAGAGGCACATTCACCTGGCCCCTGGATTCCTGGCCCCTTCTTCCCAGGATTTGAAAGTGGCACAGCCCACACTGAATCTAGTTCCTGAAGACAGGGAAAATGCAATGGCTTAGGCCTGGGTCAGGGACTCTGACCTTGAAGTCGTGGCTGGAGTCAGCATCACCCAAGTCCAATGGATTCCCCAGAGGGAAATTCAGAAGGAGGGTAAATGGATGTTGGGGGAGCAAAAAATATCAATAAAACAAAAATAAATATCCATTATATAGTACAGCTATACAATGGTACAGCCATACCATGAAATGGCCTGCTACCATCAAAGATGTTTGGAAGAATATTAAAGACATGGGAAAACATTCACAGTACAATGTTAGGTGGATAAAAGCAAGAAAGTAACTGTTATAAATGATAGAATCTCTATTTTTCATATTAAAAAATATTTTTATCACTTTTATATTAGCTAGAAATGATTATGATAGTAGTAGTCATAATCTCTAGGTAGTAGGTTTATAAGGAATATCTCTTCTTTTTCCGCTTATTTGTATTTGCTAAATTTTCTAGATTTTATAATGATATAAATGGATAAACAGTTTAAAAACTAAATAATGAAGTGAGCTAAGAGTAGATTATAGCAATTTGTGGAGGCAGAGAGTAATAAAAGGAAAACTAGGCAGATCTTTCTAAGTAGGTGAACACAGGAGAGACCAGCACTCTAAGACGGCATGAAGAAAGTTATGTGACCTTTCCACCCTATGCCCAGATCCTTCTATGTTTTGAGGACCAGCACTGTCTTTATTCTCGAAGGCATCTCACACCGTTTTTCCTCCAGTCCTAATACCTCTTCCCAAACTTCCAGCATATCACCTCATTCACCAAAGTGAAGGGTCTGCCCACAGGTGGGCAAGCTAATCTATGCCCCAAACATATACTCCTCTTTCCTGCTGTCAAAAATGAAGTTCACCACCTTTGCTCTGAACCCCATCTCCCTTCTTGGGGATTTCTCTCCACCCATTTACATTCTTCTTTCCTACATCTGAGGCATCTCTCTTCCTCTTGCCCGTTACTTCTCTTTCATTATTCTCAGGTTTCTCCCACCTTACCACTCAAATAAGCAGAGCCTTTTCTTGATCCCATGCCCCTGCCCTCAGCTACCACTCCAGCTTTCTCTCTCCCTTTCACAATGAAACTTGTTGTAAGAGTTGTTTGTATTCACTCTCTCTAGCTTGCCATCTTTTCTCTCCTTCACACTTTGACATTCATGTTTTTACTCCTCTCTCTTCACTAGAGCTGTGCTTGCCATGGATCTTTCTGCTGCCAAATGCAGTGACTCTTCTTGGTCCTCAGGTTACTTGAGAATATTTGGTTTATATTGTGGTCACCATGAGAGATAGGATGGACCCTTCTACCCATAATTTGGTGTGGATGTTGAAACTAATGATACCACACATAGACCAAGAGACTCTGAAAAGGTTTATTACTCATATAATGAGGCCTTCTGGAAAGAGAAGGGGAGGACCCCAGGTTGACCTTCAAATGGCTGGAGAAAGCAGGGAAAGGAGAGGGCCTGGGGTTTTATGGTGCTTAGGGAGTGGGGCTTGTGTCATGGGTTCTGCATGTGAACAGAACCTGTGTGGTTTGAACTTTCTCCTGAGGCCAAAAGAGGAAGCATACAGCTTTCTGATAGGCTTGCTCAGATATGGGAGATGGTGGGGCTTGAAAGCTGTCAGCAAACATTAAAAATGGAGTCGGGCTCCTTATTGTAGCATAGTTGGCTAAGCTCTGCTTGAAACTTCTTCCTTGATAATGTTCTTTTTCACTCCCTAATTTTCCTTCTTCTTCTCTGTCTCTTCTCAATTTTATTTTCTGGATTTCTCCCCTCTGCCCATTTCTTCAGTGTTGGTGTTTCTCTGAGCTCACTTTTCTCTCTTATTCTGCACACTTGTCTGGGATGAAGCTCATTTACTCTGTAGCCTCATCCATCATTCACATGCCGATGCTTCCTAAATCCATACCTCCTACTCTAGTCTCTTCCCTTAGGGGCCATAAGGACCATTAGAACAACTGCCTGTGGATATAGCCACTTGGATATCCCATCTGCATTTTATACTCTTACTATATAAAACACATCAACTTCCATCGACTGTCATCTTAC